CGCTATTACTATTAAATTTAGTCCCAGTATTTTATTTGATACGTCAACTTGAAGATTTTCATATTTAAATATTTTTAATGAATAATGTCTAGTAGAACCCATTTTTGTATCCGGTAATGAGAGCTGCTGGTTAAGTTAGCCTAACCGTTGGCACATAGTTTATCCATTCATCCTTTCCTACCGGAGAATAATCCTGTACATGTTATTGTAAGTGCCGATTTTATACTTTTTTATCTTTATCTTCCTTTCTTCATCAAATTACATTACAACCGGATAAAAATCAAATCAAATTACATTGCATTATAACCGGATAATAAATAAATAAAATTGCATTATTTGGATGTACGAAATTTGAAAAATATGCGTTCAAAATTACTTTTTAAATACAACACTTCTAAAGAGGCCAGTGTCTCCAATGTTACACATGTACAAGGAATATCTTATGATATTTTTAAATATAAATAAAAAATATTTTTTAATTTTTCCAATATTTAAAAAAAATAATTCATTTAAATTATTTGTTCTGTCAATTGATTTAAGCATTGTCTTTGACTCTACGCAAGTGTTCAATATTTCAGACTGATTGGTCAGGTAGAAGTGTGTTACCCCACGACCAGACACATGATCAAATTGTATCGTGCCGCTTCCATTAAATTTGTATCGTAAATTGCAATATATATTTATATGCAAATGAATTTACTGAGGTTCGTATTTCAAAGTTAAATCTAGGAAAATATATTCACTTAAACGGAGGTTTCGAAATCTAAGGAAGCGAGCGAAACCGTGACCTGTTAGGCCGACTTCAGCAACACAAATGAAGATGATGGCACCACCGGCAGAGGCTTTCTAAATTAAATGAATATTTCGATCACCGGACTTTGAGGTCCAACGTCCTGCATATACGTGTGTGCCATAGAATTCCGTTTTCTACATAATTTCATAGAATAGATTCGATGGGATACTATTTCGTTGCATTTGATCCTATGTGATATCCGCGGACTCCACAATCCATCTCGTGGATTTAAAGCAAAATTACATTATTGTGACCCTATAATATGCATTGCTTCCATGCAAACCTTCGGACTTTTCAAGTTATTTTCATAACATTTTGTGGGTTAAAGGCATTCAGAATCACGGTTCAATATTCACATTGTTATTTCGATAATTCATCGCTTCACATCGCTCGCTTCGCCTCTGCAGGTAAAACGCATTCCAATATTCGTTTCAAATAAAAACTCTCAATAAAAAAAACATGGGGAACATCTGCAACCGCTGGCAGATAATATAGACTCATAAATGCTATAAATGTCGTGATGAATACACTTTTGCTCACTCATAACAAATCGAAGATAACAATGATGGAAAAATTTATACCTATTCCAGGTCACCATAAGCTGAAACTTACTGTATTTTTCTCTGGGTGAATTTCTGAATAATTCCGCCATTAGCTTGCTGGCATCGCAGCACATCCGACTGATGGTTGCATATATCATGCGGTCGTGACAAGAAAATTATTACAATATCTCGAGGAGTTCTTCTCAGTTTAAGAATAAAGGCTAAAATGCCGGTGTCCATCAATCAATTTAAAATTCTTTGTAACGCTAGCAGCCAAACCGATTTACGAATTTTAGAGTCTCTTTACATCCATAAACTTAAACCTAAATTGAATAACCAATCCAGCTATTTTCCTCTTTCGATTCTAGGTCAATAGTTGTTTTTTTCCTTTCTTTCCTTATCATTTTCTAAATTTATTTACTAAAATTGATTTCCATGTATTTCAAGATGTATTTTACTAGCTGATGATGGGCATAGCTCGAAACGTTCTGTTTTATTCATCTAGGACTTTTATTCAGTAAAATGTTTTATGCAACTTTTTTGGTTTTAGCCTTTATTCTTAAACTGAGAAAATTATTACATATTACAGAGAAAAAAATTGTTGCGCGTTCAGCAATTTCCTGCGCCGAAACACACACATACATGATGTATGTGCTCGATGTAATAAAGAATAACATATATATACCTACTGTCGACGATGGCGGCAGAGGTTTGGCTGCTGTTGTGAAATAGCTTAGTCATCGCTAAAGAACGAGGGTGCTCAGTCATGGCGGGTCGGTCTTCACACAGCTGCATCACCTTGCCCTTGCGGGTTGTGTGTTTATCTTCAATGTAATTCTTTTTGACGCGCAGAGCACCTTTCACTCAAATGATAGGTGCGTAGCGCGAAACTTGAATGCTGTATTATATCTCCATCTGTATTTCGTTCCTATAAATGATAATTGAATAATTTATAGAGGCGATGGTATCGAAACACAATAACTCTTGTCATAATGAATAATGGTAATTCACGGAGATGTTCAAGTTGCTCACCCTGCATAAAATGTGACGTGCTTGCTAAGTTTTCTCAGAGTCACAGTAATTATCTGCATTGTCTATGTAGTAAAATAAGGAAGACTTGGCAATCCAGGCAATATTCGAACAAATGACCAATTATCTGGACTGAGAGTAACAAATATCAAATACTAATTAACAAATTACAACTCAAATGTAATCAACAACAGAAACAATAATAAAACTGATTTATAATCAGGAATGCACGTGGCAGGGAACATACATTACTTAACGCATATCTTCTATGGTATTTTTCAGAAAACGAAAATTCAAGTTGCACTAACGTATTATAGACGCAGGTGTACGAATGTCAATCATAATAGTTTGACATATTAATCGAAATATTTATTCATACGCAACTCGGCATCACTTTCTAAAAACTAAAAAATTCGTAGGATATCGATTCTAGAGTCGAAAAGATGGCTAGCCGATACTGGGTGGGCAGGGTAGCCCTTTCAGTGTTCAGAGTTGAAGGATTAGAACAGTGAACTTAAATTCATTGCAATCAGATTGTTAACTATATAAGATATCAAATTTATTATTCTCCCCCTAAGGTGAATTGCTCCAAAATTGAAAAACTCCGAAATTTTTAACAGCAAAGCCATGCTGTAGATTGAATTCATGAATAACTCTGCGTTCACGTAAAGAGTTTTTATTAAAACTTCTTAAGTTATCAGTATATTTTAATTTATCAATTTTTCTGCCGTAAACTAAATAAGTTTCAGCTCATTTCTGGTAAATGTTTCTGTATTTGCATGCCTATATTCCTTCATATTTCTATATTTTTATTACTGCCTATTGCCTACCTCTATATCTGCACTTAGAGATATTCTTTCAAGCGTAGCGTGAACGCGGAGAGGCTGATCATAGCCACTTATGCGGCGCTGTTGCCAGACGCTCGAGAAGTGGCCTGTGCGCCCAACCGCTCGCTCGCTGCTTGCTTGGCCCGGCCCGTCTAGTCTCTCTCACTCAGTAGTAAGTCAGTCAGTCAGTCAGTCAGTCAGCGTCAGTCATTCAGCGTCAATCAAGTCATTTAGTGTCAGTCAGTCATTCAATATCAGTCAGTAGAAAAACCAGCAGATGGTCAACACAATCAATATAATTAATTTCACAGCAATAATTCTGCCGTTGACTAAAATATTATTATCATTAATCGGCATGATTAATAATAAGTAATTAACACATTAATAATGAATAGAAAGAAGCCTTCATGAATCTATAATATGTTTCAGCATTAAAACAAAGAAAATTTTTGAGACGTTTGAAAAAACGTTAAAATCTAAAAAATTTTTATTGAGTCGAAATTTAAGCTATAAAATACAAGATATATGTGGTATATATACATACATATTATACTATAGTATATATATATACTATATATATAATATAAATATATTCAGTGCTTATATAATTATATACACATAAACACTGAATTCCTAGGAAATCGCAAATATAAATCCATTAAAAAATCCACATAAACAAACGTCAAAGGATGCGAGTCCTTCGCACCCCGAAGTCATGTAATCTATTCAAAGAAAAAAAAAATAAGGTCTTTTATCATAAGATTTCATTGATCATTTAAAGACGTCGTGGATGCGCGGGTTTGAATCGATCCCTAAAAACAATAGTTCTCTATCTACTGTTAACCTATCTACCATTACCCTATCTACCCCCCTATCTTCATGTACCCTATTTATTCTCTACTGGCAGTCTACTGCAAGTCTACTTTCTTATTTTCTACCGTAAAACAATTTTCCAGCCTCCATATTTTTTCGATCTTTATGATGAACGTCGACCAGTTGTTCTGCGTGTACGCTTCGTGATCTTCGTGATCATAACTCCTGTTTAAAAGTTTATTAGTGAATGTATGTTGAGTTGTTGAATTTACTAATAAATGTGTGGTGAAAGTTTATTAATGAATGTAGGTTAACGGTCTACACAAATTCCATTAATCCCGTGTATGTCATGTTCACCGGTTACCTGCAGTAATATTTTAATCTATAGCAGATAAAGCTTCCTTATATTATATATTGAATTAGTTGTAATTTCTCACGCTATAACCATTATCAAGCGGTTAAAATTGAACATGAACTGTGATTAAAATGAGCTTTAAGTTTTACATTTAACATAACATAACGTAACATAACATAACATAACATAGTGGCTTGTCGCCGATTCTTTTCCTTTTCGTGCCTTGTTCGTAGATCTAAACTCGTGTCATTTGACCGGATCTTTTCATGACTGGCGATAGTTTGAAGTAGCTACTAGACTTCCACCGGGTTCGATAAGGAGCTAGGCATTTCAAATCTGAACATATATTTTTCCATGGCTTTATCTAGTCTGTTCTTGCTAAATTCGCGGAATTCGTTCAGCCGCGGCATTCAATTGATCGTTCGTTCGCCGCTTCTAAGTTCTGGCTCTTCAGCAACTTCAGCGTCTTCTGTGTCTTTTAATCGGAATCCGTCATGCCGGTATCAAGAGCCATCTATGGCTCTATGCAAATTAAAAATGAGCAACACAAATCAATGTACTACTTGGCACTTGCAAATTGAAATTTGCAATAGGTACATGGGAAATGATGGGATAGTGACGGTTACAAATCATACAATAGCCTGATAGGGTATTTTCTTCTGAACTGTCAACGTCAGGATCAGCCTATCAGGTACTGCCATGCAGCCATGGCTTGATTCTTGAACACTTGAACTACTAGGTATATAGTTCAGCCATGGGGACCGCCAACTGATTGAACAGAACTGCCAAGTCAGCAGCCAAGACAAGAGCTACAAAGTAATTAGATATGCATTAATGTAGAATTTACTCTATGTAATTTGTTAGGGTGAGGTAGGCTAACCATAATGATAATTCTCAACAAAAAATATTCCGATTTTTTACTTTATTCTTATTGAAGTCAGGCAGGTTTGGGCTTGCTTTAGGAGTTTAAGTGGAAATGTCATAGCTGTCCACAAGCATCATGCATGTATGATGCATGACGGCCATTGGCCAATAAGCCAGCCATGCACACATTTGATTACCTACTGCTGCCAGGCCACCAATGTTCTCCTACTTCTATCTACCTACTTATTCTACTGTCATAATGTCATTGATGGTGTAGGTATTTAATCAACATTTAGCCCTAGCCATGTCTTTTAGCCTTTTACTTAGGTATTTGAAATTTTGAAGTAGCAACCAGCAAGTTGGTAGGAAGTCTAGGAACTAGGAACTTGACTACTTGAGTAGGAAGGCTATAGTGCTATACCAGATTACCTGCATGCAGAATATATTTACCTTTCTGCTTTAGTTTGCCTCAAAGGCTCAAATGAGCATTTAATGTAAGTCCATTTATACTTGCTAATACTTAGCTTCATTAAATTCCTTAATTCCTGTATTCAGGTGTGAGCTTGTGACAATTGATGTGCTACAAATAGCCTAACTGAAAATGGATTGTGCTGCAACAGCAGTTGATCAACTATGAACTGAAATTTACATGACAGTGACATGTTCAGGTGCTGACTGGCGACTGCTGAGGTCAGTGAGGTGCAACCATGCAAGAGTGCAAGTTGCAACAAGTGGCTTGAGCCTGCTGCCTGGAGTGCCAGGAGTGGGCTTATTGGGCCATGCCATTCATGACATTGGCATCTTCAAAAACCATATCATTATCATTGTTAACTTAACTAACTCATTATATTTTGAATATCAACTTATGTGGTTTAAAAACTGCATTTGCAGGTTGAAAACCAAACTCTCTTTAAATTTTAGGAATTCATGGCTCCCAAAAAGACAGTTGTGTTTTAGAGTTGGAGAGTAGATCTGTAGATATTTTCCAATTTCCACATGAGGCTATACCAAATTGCATGCTGATTTACACACTGTCACAGAAAGCTCTCATAAATGTAATGACTAATGCGTAATAAATTAATAGGTAGGTTAGTAGGTATCTAGTATCTTGATTTATTTCTGTACAAAATAGTGCTAGTCAAATAGTCAATGCCATCACTTGAATTTTCTTATTGAATTTCAATTTTAAATTATTGCATAATGAACTCATTGCTAGTTTATTATGCAATTTGCCTTAACTTAAGCTTGTGAAGTTGTTAGCAGAATAACTTTTTATTTTGAGATCAACTTTTTGCAGTCAATTATGGATACACCTAGGAAATTGATTCTGCCTTCTTACCAAACTAAATCTCTAAAGAAGATTACAAGTAAGCATCCTAAAGGCAGAACATCAGCATATGGTAAGCTCTGCACTCCAGCTAAAAAAGTGGAGAAAACCAGAAGAATTACTCAGAAGCCTGTGCCTGATGAATCAATTTCAAGAGTTGGAATTATTCGTTCAGCCAAGGATGCGTTAAATTTAGGTAAACAGGTATGCTATGGGACTTGAAATGTTTGATAGAATTATAAGGTTACTAAATACCTATATCTTCCTACATCACCTATGTAATGTACCATACCACTTGCTTGTCTCATTCTTATTACTTGATAACATGTGTTCAACAAATGAATAAATGATATTTTTCCTTTAAACATGACATTTACTCATCAATACATTATTAATTTTGCAGAGAACTCCTTCAAATCCCCTTGATGTGGCTTTTGATGCAAATCACGAGATAATTTTATCTTATGAACAACACATTGCACAGCAAGATGATTTGTTGTGTCAGCTCTGCAAAAGAATTGAGAGGTTAGTTCTCAACTCAGCCTTGACATTTGCAAGTACCAGAATGAAATTAGGACCACTTTAGTTTGCATTATTAAGAATTCATATTATCAAAACTACTTTTTCAAAAATAGTGACCAAAATTATATGAAATTATACATTTTCTACCATTTTTTTCATGCTTCAACTAAATAAACAAAGCGTAAAAAGTTTAGTTCAAATTCAATTTAATAATCAAGGTACCGTAATTCACAGTAGTACCAAATTATTGGAATGAAGTTTTTTTTTTAGATTGCTTGAAGGTTCTTGTATGTAACTGTTTTTGTAAGAATATAATGAGGAAATTTTGTTGCTGTTGTAAAAATTATATACCATACTAAATATCTTGTATGCATCATGCAGAGAGTGGCATTGTTAAGAAACTAGAAAAAACTCGTACCATACTTTAGTTGTATGCCTTTTAATATTTGTCTGAGACTACTTCATTTTATCAGGCTTGAGTCTGCACATGCCAGCATCTTGCCTGTGGCTGAGCTGGAAGAGTTACAAACGGAATCCCGTGACCTGAGGGCAGCTCTTACTGATGCAGAGACTGCCATACATGGAGAGAGGAGACTGGTGTCTGCACTACATCATGACAACACTTCATTAAAAGTTAGCCACCAAGCATTTTTCATGGCTAAGCATCATAATGATTTCCATTGTAGAAGTGCTGTCAAAAAATGAGTAGAGCAGAAATCACAGATATGCAGGATACTTTATGTTTGATAACATATTTTTTGTCCATTGACTGTTTTCTAAGCAAGAACGAATGTTACAGTTACAGTTGCTGCAGTCTTCTCAGCGCCTGGCTGCTATTCAGATCCTAAGCGGTGTAAGTGATGAGCGAATCGTGGCCTTGCAAGGCTCCGAGATAGTGAGGCAAAAAATGCCTGACAAGTTACGTCAGCTGCAGCAGAAACTGTGGAGTAAGGCTGATGCAAATGCTGCTGCTGGCAAAGGTTAGGTACTTCTTTTGGTGGGGATTACAATTGTTTTTTTTTTTATGTAGCAATACTTAAATTATTGTGGCTTAATGAGAGTTTGTGTTTTAATATTAATAAGGACTTCATTCTTTTCAATCTCATGTTTAGAGGAATTTCTTGTAAACAATTGCATTCCCACGCTTGTGTGCCAGTTGTTCTGGTGCTGAGAAATTTCAACTGGCTCAAGCCTTGAAGCTCCATAGTCCTAGGAAGCAATTCATGTATTCTCTTTTTATCCACTCCTTTAATGACAATTCTCCCATGATACATTTATGTTCATTGGATAATAGCATCCCACAGCAATGATTCGTATGCTACCGCATTAGTTCTATTTCTCCACTAATTTGCTTGAAGAAGTGTCACCTTCTTGCCATGAGCTGTAACTACCTGAACAAGACTGCCCCTGATGCAAGCTAATATTTTGCAGTGAACCCCGAGGAGGTCTTAGTGCTGCGTCATGAGCTGCAGAGTCTGCAAGAGAGCATGACCCTCAGTGAGAAGGCCTGGGCTGAAGAAAGAACTTGTCTCATTGAAGACAAGGAGCTCAGAGAACAAGAAAGAGATCTTGAGGATGCCCGCCTTAAGGGTTGGGTTAAAAAAGCTGAAGAACGGTCAGTTGTGGTCAATATATCTTGCAGGTATAGCATCTTTGGTGCACTGTTCTGAAACGTCAGCTGATTCAACTCTTTGAGGTCTTGAGCATTTTGTTACAAGCTCAGGATCTGTTTTATTGAGTCTAAGATTTCGGGATGCTCTACTAAATTCTTATTCTACCCATAAGATCTCTTGCTATAAATGATTTACATTCTGAACCGACTGAATTGTGACTTGAGTTGGATACTTTTCAATGTGTTATTTGTCCTTGATTCACCAGTGTGAAGTATACACTGCTGATGTCGTCTTGGGTGTTTTATACGTAGAATAAGCCTTAATGTTGATAATCATGCTTGCATCATATCTACAGATATTTTTTGGTCGACAGAACATAATATTTTTTTCCTGTTAGCCGTGTCAGTTGATATTTTTTATGAACGTTACGTGATATTTATTCTTAGGTTAGCAAGGTTAGCAGATACTTTTGATCAACATCACGCATCATCTGTCGGCAGGTTAGCTGAATGCCAACGGGAGTGTCGCGCCAGCGGGGCTCAGTGTGCCAGCCTGACGAAGGAGCTGCAGCTCCAACAGCGGCAGCACCTTAAAGACAAGACGGCGCTCCTCAGCGCCCTTGCCAAAATAGGCGGGCCGGAGAGACTCGAGAAGGAACTTGAAGTAAGACTACTAATGCTAAGATTTTTTTCCTGCTTAATGAGTCGGATGACTGCTGGATGATTTATAGTGATGATCTTCCTTCAGAAATGGACTAAGGTGGTGCACCTAGAGTACGGCACCGTATAAATAACTTTAATCCAATTTTTGTCAGCAAGTATTTTTTCAGGACAGATATTGTCTTCCGTGCATTGCCTTGCCTAATATTTTCCTCGTCTAATATTTGTCAATATTTTGTCTGCAATGTATATTCATAAATGCTACCGGTATTTTTTTAACTGATCTGATGGACGATCTACATTTACTAGTCTCACTGTACTGATTCATATCAGGGGCACCCTCTCACGTGACTGTCCCTGTTTCGCAGGCCCTGAACATCTCGAGCAGCTGCATGGACGCCGCCGTGGGCCACGTCAGCGCCACATGTCAGGCTCGTCAGCTCAAGCTGCTCTCCCTGCAGCTCCAGGTGCTTGCGCGGCTCGCGTGCTCGTAGCGCATGGGTCAGGAATTGTGTCTGCTGAAGTAAAAAATGTATGACGTCATGCATTGTCGATTAATCGTAGTCTGGTGAAGTCATTTGTTTTCGCCAGTGCAATGCTATCTCATAATTACAAGCTGCCAGTATGAGATAGACTTGCAGGCGCTAATAAGCCATACCTATGTGTTTAAAGTAAATTTTGTCTGCATTTGATAAATGGAGCTATACCACGAAAATAATGATGGGAACTATATTAGGTATTATCCGTTGAATTCACTGTTCCATGAAAAATAAATATTATAGTCATTTGTTTTAATGCAGAAATATTAACTGCGTGCCAAGTATCCAAGTTAGCAAGCTCATTGTCTACACGCAATCCACACAAACATGCTCACTCTTATTTGCCGCACAGTTTTGCAATATCTAATGACGAGCGTTGTGACTTTTCATGACTTTAAGCAATGCAATTTTATAGGACGTTTTATCGAAAATTTATCAAAATGAAGTTTCAGTACACATCATTGGTGCTTGTGTTTGGATGTTTGTAGTTCGTGTTGTCGTGTAACTGTGATTGATAACATACACAGAGTTTCTGTCATTCCCGTACGTCGGTAGTCATATGAAAGCTTGTAGGATTTCAATATATGTACTTATCTCTAACACATACCTACTGTTGCATAAGAAAAGCTACATAAAAGCCATGGTCCTGATCACACTCATGCTTGTGGCAGCGGGAGTTGTGTGAGCACTCGGAGCTGCTGGCAGTGTCGGAGCGCCGCTGTGAGGCCCTGGAGAGAGAGACCTGCCACCTCAGGCAGGCACGACAGGAGGCTGTCATCCAACTCAAGGTGAGCTATCAGCAATGCGAATCGCATCCTCATATATTCCATGGCTATATTTATGATCAAGGATTGTGTAAATTCAAAGCTGTTTGCTCTCCAAAGACTCGAGCGGGACAGTCTTTCAAATGCTCTATCACGTGTATGTGTACTTCTTGACTTAGCTGAGAGGCCGTGATGAGGTACAGTTAAAAAACATGAAGCGTCACGTGAAACTTTGACGCTATGAACGTCTTCAGAGACTTGAAGATTGAACTGAAGCTTGGCAAGCAAAAGTCGATATTTCAATTCTTAAGTCCTCTTGAATAATGTAGGAACTAATCACATCCAAATTCATAGTAATTTATTCATCTGTATTGTGCCTCTGAGTAAACTACTGTAATTACTTGAAAAAAAACATAAATGGCTTAGTATAACGTGCTACTGTTCCGCATTAGCTGGGAAATTTTTGGAACCAGAGATTATTTATGGCTGACTTGACAACTACAAGTTTGTATCCCTTAAGTAATTCTTTTACTTCTGGGACGTGGTGAATACAATTAATGCTTTATTGCCGAAGCCCACTAAGCATTAGCCCAATCTATTGGGGGTGTTTGAGTATTGTCATTATTTTACATTGTGTTTAATTGAAACTTTCTTAGCAAGTGTATATCGACCTCTTAGGCATTGGCCAAATGTATATCAGAACTGGCACAGATACTTAACTTACTTTACTCAGTAGTCTGCTCGGTATTCAAGAAGAAAATATCACAAATTTTATCAGAGCTGCCTCCAACAATCGCGCAAATAAAATAATGAGATAAGTCATGCAATATTAAGGCTCCGTTGTGCCCTCAGAAGGAGCGCACGGCAGCCCGAGAGCGACAGGAGGTGCTGGAGGAGCATCACCAAAAGGACCTGCATCGCCTCAAGATAGAAGTGCAGGGCATCCATGCGGACCTCAATGCCGTGCAGACCGACCTTAAGAAGCTCGTGCTTATGATATACAAGGTGGGCTACGTCAGGTGGTGGGGGGCGCTGTACGTGGGTGATGTCATGCAGGAAGGCTGCCTCAGTTAGTGGGGGCCGCTGAACGTTGTGGATCTCATGCAGGAAGGCTAACGACTAGATCACTCAAGTCAACTCGGTTCACTATCTTCGAGATATTCTGTCGTGAAGATTTGGGAATTTAGCTCGCGTCCAATAACATCTAGTGTTATTTAGACTCGTAATGTATTCCACTATTAGAATTTCTTTTATTAACATCGCTAGTATCTGTGTTCCTAGTTTGTTGACATCGAATAGTTCCACGTTACTACGTTTTAAGCGAAAGCTCTGACATGTCTCTGATGTGTGTGCAGCTGTTGATGTGGCAGAGCGACTCATGCCCCCCGGACGCGGTGCCGCCGTCGCCGCCCGCGTGGCTGGACGGCCCTCGCGCCGTCACGTCACTGGCGCGTCGCCTGCAGGCCGCCATAGACGCCACGCGGGGCAGGCTGGCTGCACTCAAACAGCCCGCTGCCCACACCCCGGACTGACCTGCCCGCGTTGCCTGCTCATTCTCCTAGCATTTCTTGTGCTGATTAGTTGTCACAATATAAGCTATTCGTACCAAGTTTTAATATAGTAATTTTATCCAGTTTTGATACAGTCCCTAACGTAGCTCAAACTAAGAGTCGTAAGGCGCGTTCGTCCGTTACTATACCTGCTGAGGACCATGTCATACTTATAGCCATTATGTTCAAATAAGAACAAGAATGCGACTTAACGGTTTTATATTATTGATCTTTCTGAATGAGTTTGTTACTGCATTCGATTTGAAACGTCTGATCATTCTAGTAAATGGCTTATATTTTAAAAATGAAGTCTCGTACTTAAACCAAAAAATTTCCGCTAGCGTTTTCGAAGTTACTTGCAACAGATTTTCTTTTCTGCCATGGTTTTTGTGGGATTTCAACTACGTTTACAGGCCTTCGGTGATTTTACTGGCTACTCTACACGTTGCGTTCAGTGTTGCGTGACACAGGATTTTGCTACAGCTGAGCAAGTTGAAACATTTGACCAATCTTCAAAGATTAATGCTCTTTCGATGTCTCTGTATCATTTCACTTCTTAATAAGTTCAGCAAGACGAGTTAATACTACCTACGGTAATTATTGATTTTATCTTCTTTTGATCCTTCCACTACGCCAACTGGGATAATTGATTTAAGTTAAAATAATAAACTTTCAACGCTCTGATTACATTTTAGAATTACATCACTTGTTTTAAAAATATGTTTTGAAGCATAAACGTTTGCAGCGAAGTTTTATTCAGGTTGTGAGGTGTTGAAAATTTCTTTAGAGTGTGCCTTACTGAGAGCTACATGATCTCGCTTGAAGCTAGTAATTTCGCTAGAGTTCTTGTTGTTAGCTGACTTAACGATGACCTTAGATTGAAGGAGCAAATACCGATATGTTACCTGAAGCCTCATGCAGGATAATGAGATGTGTCTTGGCCGTCTCTAACGAGTACCTGAATCTAGTTTAATGTCTGTTAGGTTTTAAACTTTGTTCCTATTAATATGTCGCACCGTCTCGAAAAATTGCTTGCTTACCTTATGTGTATTAGGAAATATGAGTTGGTAAAATGAAAGAAAAGTCCAGTCGTTTGCTTGCTTCCTCTAATAAATTGAATCCATATTTTATCCCTTCAAATACTTCCGAGTGTACTGGTTATTGCCATCCATTTTATCGTGCATTCAACTAATGGCATAAAACTTGCATTGTTTATTATAGAAGCGAAGATCAGCTCCTTCAGGCTGCTCCTGACGTCGAAGTATTATAGTTTCGGCTGGAAGTCTCTTTGATTACTTGGATCCGCCGTTGCCAACGTCGATAATTCAATTATTATGCTATCATTGCAAATAATATAAAAGCAACATTCACTACACTTAACTCGTCGTTATGTTCTTTACTCTATTGATCCGCTGTTCAGACGTACGCGCTAATTCTAACGAGAGACAATGCGTGTGGTTCCATTGTCGAGTGCTGAGTTAACGAGGGATGACGGAGGCCCTCTGGAGAGTCGAAGGCTAGAGAGGAAATCCCAAGAGTTCTTGTAGTTTACTTCGTCAACTGTAACCTCAAGTTGATGTCGCGATGATCTCACGAAGTGTCCGCGGCGAAGCAGTCTAATTTTTTCAACATTGCGGGTCCGCTAGGACCGCAAAAGACATTGGATAACTTTCACTTCATAATGATTGAAAACGTTTGAAGGAAATACGAATTTTGCTGATGAAGTGGTTGGCGATATCATGTAGGTCCACTGGCGTACGCAGAACAAAAGTCATCTTGTCAACTCAGGTTAATATTGCGGTTGAGCATTAGTAGATGCCGACTCGGCAATGTCACGCCAAAGACTTGTTCTGACAAAGACTGATGAGTAATTCTTATTAACAATTTATTGTTCTAAACTTAGCGAATTAGACTCTTTGTAGGGTTTGATAATTTGAATATGAAATTTACAAATGGCTTTTTATTACAATAGTACCACGTTTCTAATACAAATTTTTTATTGTAAAGTGAAGTGAAGGTTTTTCTTAACGTTAAAAATTTCGATTTCCGGTCATTACAAACCACTGAATTTATCTGGCCACTGAAATTATTATTTTTGACTTTTACTACCGGATCGACAATAAATTCTTTTGATAACTTTTCAGACGTGCAACATAAAGACGTGTTAATGATAAAGCTCATTTTGCTTATACTAGACAGAAAATAATACTGGACAAAAAAGTCCAGTATTATTTAGAACAGAGCAGTTTGAATTTTAAATGTTTACCTGGAATCTAGATAAAATTTTATAGTTGACTTCGATAATAATAGCAATGGAAACAATTTTAGACAAATTCCGAGAGCGTTTGGATGTTCTAAAATCTAAATAATACTCATTGGTTGAGAAACGCTTTACTATAAAAACAAACGCGTATTTTCCTTTGCTGTAATGTAAAATACGATTCGCATCAGTCCAATGCATCAGACCGACAATATCCAAGAAAACCTATCCCTCTTGCGTTCTCATGGCACTCTTCATGGGCCAGACATTAATGTAGCTGTAACGTTTGCTACGCGAAGTTACGATGTTAAGTTACATCAGCTAGAGTGACTTGCCACTTTCAGTTACCGGCTGAATTGTGAGATGACAGTAGGATTTGGGCATCAATCACTTGCCTTTTTATTGCGTTTGCCCCCAAGATGTTTACCAACACGCGGAGAGAAATAGAAGCGCGCAATATTACATTTTCTCGGTTCCTGCACTCATTCATTCGTTTCTATTTCTATAGTTCATTTCTCTTATCACGATTTATTAACAAGCCTGTTTATTATAATTTAGTTTTAACCGAAGATAAAATAAGAAAGTTTGTTAATTGAAAAATTCTACACAATGAGCGCGGTTCATCATTATGGTTCGCGTGATTTTTCAGAGATGAAGTGATCCCATGGTTGAATTAATACAATTCAACCATGAAGTGAACCTCTTGCAAGTGCGACAAAGAAAGAAAGTATTCGAGCAGCTGAATTTGAATGAAGTTCTGAGATGCTTCATTCGTCTTTGTGCTCCCTGAGCACACACAGAGCGCTCACTGAGCATAATTATGCGACTTAAAGCGAACACTTAGTAGAACATGGACAATTGTTCGTACTTGAAAGCTCGTACACTACATATGTGTAGTATACTCGCATACGAAATTCATGCTCACTTGGTTTATATGCATGGAAATAAAATATCGGGGGGCTTCTGAACAGCAATTAGATAACCAGAAGAGAAAGCTGTGGGAAAATCGTTTTTATTTCCAACTAAGTTATTGATAATTGTATAAATAATTCGACAGGTGAGCAGGCAGACTCCAAAACCAAATAAAACAGATAAATAAAAATTATTTAAAAAATAATAATGATAATAATAATTCATAATTGTGATGTGTTTACTTTACTTACTTGGATCCGCCGTTGCCAACGTTGATAATTTCAATTCTTAATTCGTTGACGAAAAAATGGTTCCGATCCTGAAACACAGATTGTTATCTTCAGATGCTTGATACGCAAAGTAATCTTTAATTAACTTCTAAACTGGATTTATGATAATTGAAATGATTTAGAATAGTATCATGGTGCCAGCTTGGATTAAGCCATTTTGTGTTGTTGTCGATTTTTAAATACCGGACCACTTCGCCGATTTCGAGCAGAATTTCCACTATAGTAGTTGCAGGTTTGGTGTTGTGATCATAACCTCTCAATCTTGGCGAGAAAGTCGCTAAGAAGCGCTTCCCAAGCGTCAAGTTATTTTGAGGCACTCATGACCATGTAATTTAGCAATTAAAATTGAACAATAAAATTTAAACACTCATACTGAATGCTTAAATTCACAAACACTTGAAAAAAAGGGAACGGAAAATGAAGCTTACTGATCTTCGCGGAGGAACAGTTGGCAAAAGCTAAGGCGTTACTACGAAGACAGGTGCCTGGCGCGATGACGAGGTCGCGTATATAAAGAGGGTCGACCTGAGGTGCCCGGTCAGTGTCACGCAAGCGGCGGTGTGAGAGGGTACTTCGAAATGATGCGGTCTGGTGGTAGTTGACTGGGAATCTTAACTTGAGACTTGGTTATAACGAGATTAAAAGCTCGAAACTAAGACACTTGTACAGTTAATTTATCGAAAATACTCTGAAGTTACCCTCGCTTGGATCATTCAAATTTCATATTTGGTTTCTATCATATACATCTACAGTGAAATAGATGACATAGTAGGAAAAAATAGACAAATTCAAAATTATGTCTAGCTTCACATCAAATCCGAAGATCATTAATACAAAAAATAATATTGATTATATACACATAAGAATATTTAATGTTTGAATTTTATTTAGATCATTCTAGCTTCCTATACCATACTAACATTTACGACAAGCTTAATTTTTCTTCCTGAACGATCTTTTGAGCAGAAAGCCCCCTATTTCTTAACCTCGAACTGCTTGCGATTAGAAGAACGATTTATAGAGTAAAGTATTTAATCTAAAGATAAAGAAAACCATTCGAAAGGTTTCAGGTCGTACGAAGAACTAAATCATAAGTTTTATTGTCATAAGTTTCAAGACGAACATTCGACCAAGACCTGTAGAAGACAACGATAGGTTTAGGTTTAAAATTTAACGAACATACGAATGCTATTCTTTTCGGAGCTATAAAGAGCACTGCCGTAGAGATGCAGCGTTGCTGCACGACGATGTCAGTTATGTTGAGCGTTATAGTGACGGCTTTATTAGTAAAGTCGGCCATATCGCAGCCGACGTTCGCTGTTCTACCGCCGGTGCCGAAGTCAGTGGCAGCCAACGCACATCACGCCAAAATCAGCGAGTTTGTCAGGCTCTGGACGGAAGCGTTGGAAATCGACGGAGAAGACAACGGTCCCGCTCTGCGCATCAATTTTGGTAAGTGGCTTTCCCACTTTGAATTTATTAATAATTTGATTTTTAGATCGAAATAGAAATAATCAGGGTGTTTTTGACTACCTTATTATATTATCTTTACAGCCATCATCAGGCTTCTCAAGCAAAAATAAGTTTGAAAGAAGACCCGTTCAATCTAATCAACAAAAAAATTTATAGCCTGCTTCTATATGTGATGGAAATAGCAAGTTAGCACGTTATATCGTACTTCGATAACGAGGAATTGATTTAAATTCTATTTTATGAATCCGAATTCGGTTTGCCTAGCCCAGTGATTCATCCACCGAAAAATAATTTCAGAATTGGCTAAACCCCAACACCTTTGGTATTTGGATCTGAGCTCCAAGAATCTCAATGCATTTTTAGTTCCAGGCTAGGAAGTTAGCTCAACCACCAAAAATACATTATAAGTTATAGTTTAAAAGAACTAGCCCGGTTTGCGTGGTGTAAATCATTCATGCAATTTGATTTTGATAATACCGTTGTTCCAAATCCCGTTATAAAGAACCCATGCATGCAGTCATTCCGAATATATATAGTAATTTTGAAGCTAAAGGGACCATAATTGAAAAAAGACGCATCCAAACACACATTCAGCGCGGACGTATAGCTTAGATCTTGTTTTGAAATTTTTAGGTAACTTTAACTTATTTTGAATAAAATTTACCCTTACCAAAGTAAAAATTGTATTTCAATTTTTAAATAAACTTAGATCTTGAATTTTAAGTAATTATTGACTGCCATTGAATGGCTAACATTTAAAATATGCATATACATCAATTATCAATTATTCCATGTTTTGAGTGAGAGATGTCCTCACATAGACATTGCAACGTTAGGTCAGTAACTGACCGTTGCTTGTTTGAAGAAAAAATGTTTCCGATTCTGAAACACAGATTGTTTCTATCGGGTGCCTGGTATTCAAAGTAAACCTTATTTAACTGCTAAACTCGGTTTATGTCAACGCCTTATGATAATCTGCCAAGCAAGATTCATCCTTAAAAGAAATAAAATGTTTTAAATTGGAGTAACGGCGATCAATAGGAAAAAGACGTCAACATTATTCTTCCCACCTACATCCATTTAATAAGAAAATATCAACTTAGCTGATCGCGCGTGAACGTCGCTATTTGTTCGGTTCCGTTTCACTGCTCAGCTCAACAACTTGTCGATAATATCTATGCTATGTCCTCACTTATATCGCAATTTTGATGCCCCTGCCGATCAGAAGCTGTGACGCAATCTATGCTATCAAACGCGCACCCTTCGCTCGCAATTTCAACGTCTCTACGTGAACATCAGTAGGACTCCCACAGAAATCGAGAAGAATCTAGGTCGTATTTAATCATCAAAAGTAATACCTTGTGTTTCCTCTCACCAATGAAAATACCTCGTTGGCAATTTGTGTGCAAGAGCCTTAACTGAGGCGGCCTAATCATGCCGTGAGAACGTGTACGATGAAGAACGGGAATGTCAATGTAATTAAAACTGGTTTCTTTAATATGATTCAGTTTTTTCTTGCATGAAAAAAAGTGTGAATATATCAACTTCAAAATCAAGTTTTCCCTCATTAAACTTTCCTCATTTATATCAACCCAGGGGCGTGATATCCTTCAAATCAAGGCAAAGTTTTATAGCAATTTTCCAGCTTAATAATTCCAATAAATAGTAAATACCAAGTAGAAGACGAAAGAACATCGAAAATCAAAGTAACCTGACCCATGCATCTACTGGTTTGATTTTTTTTTTTTTTTTGCTGAGAGAAAATTGCTCACTAACATCTGTTTGATCGTAAACTTCAAAAGGTCAACAAAACGGAGTTTTCACTCGCATGTACAAAGGCACCAAAATCAGCATATAGTGCAAGCATTACTGAAATATTCTTCACGTCAGTGGACCATATGAATACATTTCTCGCAGCGCCAAATGCACGCGTTTCATGAGATCAACATGAAGATTATCGTTCGTTACCTCTAGCGACTTTCTCTGAAAAAGACTCCAGAGCATTTCCCCCAGCTCTCTATATCTCGGTCGTGATCTCGTGAACGGCAAGGGCAAAAAGAACTCAAGGTATTCTGGTTGCCTTTGGCCTTTGACACTCAGTCTTGCTTGCCCTTGCGCGAGTCGTCATTAAACGTACGATTATATGGATATTAACTTAGTATTATATCAGATAATATAGATCTCTTAATCTAGAATAAATATACCTGAGGCAGCTTTGTCGCTATTTATCTAAAACCAGAGACAATGTGTTTTTATTACAATGACCCCTGTGGTTACTTGTACCTATACGAAATCTTAAGACACGAATGCGATTAGACGAGTTCCTAATTTTTGCCCTCTTCTCGAAACCACTCGATCCAACATGTGTATTAGTCTCTCCCTCGCCTCGTTACCCTACTGGGAGTCCCACGTCTTTTGTCTCAGCTCCTCGATATCCTCCTGTTATACGAGTCTCTTAGTTTTTTCCTCGCAGCGATGCCTCGATGTCTCAGGTCTCTCAGTATTTCCATCTTATCGAAACCCTCTTTTAATACGAGTCCTTGAACCTTTTACTCGATTCGATACCGTCCTCGGTTCTTTTAGTCTTTTCCGCTCCTCGATTTCCTCGTCTAATATAAGGCCTGCAGTCTTCTTAGCTTCTTAATAGTCCCCTATGTATGTACGAGTGTCATAGTCTTTTACTCATCGCTAGATCCTCATCTACTAGCCGCCCATTAGTCTTTTCCGCTCCTCGGTCCCCCTATTTCATTCGAGAATTCTATCCTTTCACGTAATAGCCCATGAGTCACATCATCTCCTCTGTTGCCTTTCCAAGAAATTCAGCTCACTTCACCCACCGACTGCCTCGGCAGTCGGGCATCGTGTTCGCTACAGTGAAACAATCCCAGGATAAATGCTAGAAGCTGGCAGTTGTCTGTTCGGCGGTTGTCAGTTCGGCGGTTGTCTGTTCGGCGGTTGTCTGTTCGGCGGTTGTCTGTTCGGCGGTTGTCAGTTCGGCGGTTGTCTGTTCGGCGGTTGTCTGTTCGGCGGTTGTCTGTTCGGCGGTTGTCTGTTCGGCGGTTGTCTGTTCGGCGGCCGCCGAATATCCGGCTAAACTCTGCTGTAGGGCGGCAGTGAAAGGCTGCTCCAGTTTAGGCGCTCACGCAGTGCCCGGCGCGTGACCTCGCGTGTAGCTTCCACGTGGGATGACTTTCGCCGCAGAGGAAGTGATAAATTATAATTATTCAATTAGATAACAAATAAAAATTATGAAAATAAAGAGGCTTTTTATCCAAGGAAGCTACTTCTCAGTGACATAGAAAGAGAAGGAATATCGCAAAATTGTACAGAAGAGCTACTCGTACAGGAAACATTACCATACAGGAAACATTAAAGAAGGGATGAAATGCAATCAATTAAACCTAGAAAAGGTTATAAAATTTTCTATTGTCAATTAATTAATAATTAATTAAATTAATATTTAATTAATTAAATAAATTAATAATTAAATAATATTTTCTCAATTAATCATGTCACAAACAAAAAAGTGAGGAAAACTCATTGAAATAATCACCTACTTGAATAATTTTATTCATTTTATACGAGTTATAGTATGAGGTTAATATCGTGCGAAATTTTTCATTGTGAGCTCCTACGTATGACATGCATCACCATTCTTCATTATTAAAACTCCGAACGAGCCGCCATGAAACCGCATAAAATAAGATTTCTACGCATCAATACGTAGCATCTGACCAAACTAGGAGCTTTTGATGCATTATTTTGCATCTTATCGCCTAAATTAAATCTGTGAATTGAAGGGCGTCGACGAGCTTGCATTGCATTGCAGCGTCGGTCAAGTCCCTTACGATCAGACAACATCCGGGACCGCCCACGACAGAGCCCTGATCCTGGTTGAAGTGTCCAGTTATAGCGTGTACAATCCTCCTGTTGGAGTGACATGCACATAAGTACATGCACATCCTCCTTCATAAGTGACATGTACAAATTTCAATACTGTTTCAAATTACGTCTAAACTAATTGATCGTTTCTCCTACAGATAAAACAAATGTTTCTGATTGAATATAAATCGAAATCACAGGGGTTGCAGAAAATTATTTCTATCGGAGATGCAATGCGATAACATCTTCAAAAAAATAGAGTCAATCCAGTACGAAAAGTTGAGGTTGTCAGATCAGTGCCGTGCAGTAACTGTCAAGAAGATTGAAAGCTTCTTTCAGATGCGATGTGCATCGCCTGATATCGCCTCTTCTAATAATGAGTAATACGAATACGTTTATTTTAATTGCTGACTTAAAAGAGAAAAACAACGAGCTTTAGTTAAAGAATTGGTGACAGTTTATCTGTTAACAAATTTCGTAGCTTTGAGACAAATTTTACAGACTCACCGACTATGACGAGACGCACCAAGCAAATCCGGGTCTTCTGCACTTGATATATAGTATTCAAGATTCAACGGAAAATAAAATTTGAATTATATATGCAATTTATTGAAGAATGTGTGTTTTTGACTGAGTGGGTGTGTGTTAAAAATGTGGGAGCACGGGGTCTAGGTGAACATCCGGTTGTGAAGGTCAATTTTGAGGAAATGTATTCTAATCCCTTTTGGAACTTGACTGCATAATTGTCACGGAAGAGCGTCACGGAACTGGTACGAAATTCTCAAAAAAAGTATTATCACGACACTAAACATTCACTCCTCAAGCTAGGTGATTAGCGGTTGAGTATGATTATGCATTCGAAATGATTATTTTTCGCCTGATTAATGATTTAATTGGTTGCATATTGAATTCACCTACAGACTAGAATCAAGAGGGTCCCAATGGCATATCCGTGGAGTTACGATCCAAAAGATCAACCTTAAGTTCCCTTGACTTCTTAGTTTTATAAACTGGCTGGACCTTCCGTAGTTTTATACAATGACAGGGACTCGATTAGCTTCATTTATGACAAGGTCTCTCATAGTTTTATATGACAT